GTTGTGCAGCTCTGAAGAAGACAAGGCGGCATGCGACATTTGTAGACTAACCGTAAATGCAAGAGGTAAAAACCGATGAGTCGTTATGCCAAGAATATGCTGCACTATTACACAGTGGTTCACATTTTCAACTTCCTACGGCACAGGCCAGAAAAAGATACTTGGGAAGGTGACGCTCTGGATGTGCCAGAAGCGCCAGCTTCCAGCAGCTATTTTTAACTGCAGGAATTTAATTAGAAAGGATGGCTGCACACGGTTGGTCTTCCTTCCTCTCCATTCTTTGTGCAGATCAGATAGCCCGGTGTGTGCCATTACAATGGACAATGTCTCCTGTGCTGGTGTTGACGGCACAGTGTCTGTGCTGAGCACAGGGTGACCTGCATGGCCAGGACTGAATTTTCCTGAGAACATCCTTTCAGTGGAGACCCCATCTTGGCTTCACCATGAAGACAAGGAGAGGAGAGCAAATCAAGAAAAGGGATGTGGCGCATTCTGCTGCGATGTTTTTGACTTGTCTTACAAGCCATAGCTAGCCCGAGAGAAGCAGCAGCAGATTTCCTAATCAGTTCTCAACCCGTATAAATTATACCACTGCTTCGTTTATGAAAGCAGCCCAGAAGTGAGATGGCACAAAGACAGCTTCAAGACATTTTGGAATTCAGCTCCCTCAGCCCTCATCAGAATGTAATCTCGGGCCCAAAGTTCTGATGCTGTATGCTTCCTGCCTTCCGGCCCCCACAACAAATGTTTGGGTTGGTGCACAACTGCTGCCAGTATCCCTACTTTTTCTTTTCCAGACTCTCCAGTGGGTTAACCTCCATACTGGAGGATTTCTCAATATGACAGCAGTGGAGCCAGAGCACCTGTCCAGAGTATTTTGCCACAACCCCCTTCAGCCTCTTCAAGAAGCATCCGATGCAAAGCAGCTAGCATGCACTTTCTCATTTATGTGCACATCCACGATGACATCCAGTTCTAGTAACGAGACAGATGATATCCTGACAACATTTTTTTTCTCCAGGGCTGATTTCCTTTGAAGAGAAGCACAGACAAGAAGTTACGGTTTTATCAAGGGAAGCAGGGTCGCATGCCATGGCCCGGCCAGTCCCTGTGTGCTTTTGTTCCCCATCTACAAAACCGAGGTAAGAATAGTACTTGACCTTGTGCTGCGAGTACAGAAGTAGCAAACAATGTCAGGTGCTTAGCAACTTCATGTAGATGTGCACATGCATACTGAACACATCTGTAGGACCCAGTGGGACAAGATGTGATGACCTACTACTGATGGTGTGTTCCTTGGCAGCAAAACCAAGTAATTTTTGGTATCACTACAGTAACTGAGACAGAAATTCAGTTTTACTATGGGGTTTTTGTTGCCTGGCACCCTGCAATCTTAGAAAACTAAATATTGGTTTTAATCTTCTTTTCTAGTCTACATCTTCATTAAGTATCCCCTTGTAATTTAAAGCAATTTGTGGCAAATGCTAATACTGCTTTGGGCCCACTTCTCCCTGTCAGCTGTATCTCTGTTAAATTATGCATTTCCATCTGGAAGGAAAACCATACAGGACTGTAGGCTCTCCTCCACTTAGAGTCAGGAATGGAGAGGGATTTAATTAGATGCTCCGTGGTTGAGAAGAGGACTAGAGCAAAGCCTGGGTGGTCTGTGGAATCTTCCACTGGAAAACAAGGCTGCAAATTGCTCGGTACAAGCCTGCTTCTGTTTGCTCATTTTGTTTACATTGTTTGTACTTACAGATTAAAATAGACAGTTACTAGGCAGATAAACAGGGTTTCCTCCCATGACAATGCTGTGTAGATGTTTGGTGAGCAGCGTGGGACAATATATGTTGGTACTTCATTTTTGGCTATGGCACCCCAACTCCTTACGTAACTTGAAGCAGAACGATTTTTAGCCAGTGCTCCAAAGCACCTAATTGCTAATGTTTCCAGTCCCATCCTTCCCATCTGTAAAATGGGGATAATAAAGCCTCTCACTTTCCTCTCACTGGGAAAGAGAGAGCATCCAGCTTGCAAAAGGAATAGCTCTCCACCTCTTATTTGGCAGCCAAGGCCGATGGACCCAACTCATGCAGTTCCTCTTGTCACCTACATACACTTAGGCCACCGACCAAGTCTTCAAAAGCTGAAGTGTGCTTAGAAGGCCTGAATCAGAAGCAGAAAATTGTGATGAGCCAAGCAACTCTCATCTACACTTAACTGTGAGTCAACTCAAATGTAGTGATTTCAGTCATGTGCCCTTTCACAGTTCAGCTGAACTTCAGAACATAATAGATGCAGCTTTAAATAGATTTACAGTGCAGATTGCTGATTTGAGTGTCTGGCAGATTAATTTATTCCTCATGGTTTTTCTGTTCCAAAATTCAATGGATTCCATATTTGTAAATGAGGGAATGCAGAGGACTAAGTCAGAAAGTGGGCTATGACTGGAACCAGGCTTATTTATTAACCTATTTTGGTTGCACGTTAAAGAAAGGAAGCTATTATGCTGTTGGTTTGTGGGATGCTAATGGGCACTCTGGGCATAATTACCCTGTGTTGGTGCGTGAATAAACCCCACTGATATATAAGTTTTTCACCCAAAAGTAACTTTTTCCTTGAAAAGGGAAGATAAAGAAAAAAGAAAGAAAGAGAAAGACAAAGGAAAATGAAGAGGGAAAAGAAGAAAAAGAAAAAGAGAGAGAAAAAGAAAAAGAAAAAGAAAAAGAAAAAAGAAAAAGAAAAAGAAAAGGAAAAAGAAAAAGAAAAAAAGAAGAAAGAAAAAAAAGAAGAAAGAAAAAAAAAGAAGAAAGAAGAAAAAGAAAATATATAAAAAAAAAAAGAAGAAAGAAAAAAAGACCTTGCCCTTTATGGTCACTTTACTCCTTCACACTACATCTTTGGGTAGGAAGAGGTTAAACGCCCAACAACATTTTTCTCTTCTTAGCAAGTTGCAGAACTGTACATCAGACACATTGTCTGCCAAATGCTTCATTTACTACCAGCTGCATTTTTACTTTGTTGAGAGATAGCTGAAATAAAATCACTGTTCTTTGTGCAAACGGCATGCTAAATAATGTATGGCTACAAGATTATTAAATAGCAAAGGCATTTGATAATATTAGAGTCAACCACAAGTCCCACTTCTGCTGATGCACAGAATTTTGAGTAATTAGTCATTGCACGGAGTGTTGTATTTATATCCCCTTGAGCCTCAGACGTTAGGCCACAAAGTCAGGAGACAAAGAATTGCTGTTATTGGGAGGACTGTTTTGGATTTATTTATATTCTAAGGCTTTATTTCAGTGTCCACTTCACTCCTCTGGCTCAGGCTTCCTCCAAACCAGAAGATACAGCTAAGTCAGAGAATTTTAGTGTAAACCATATTTTTACAGACAAGACCTCGCAACTTCAAGCAAAAGAACTTCAATGAGCTTGCAAAGCCTCCAAAGAAGCACAAGTGGCCTGAGGTTAAATGACAAGCCTGGGAAAAAGGCCTCCTAGGGTCTGTCCTGATCTCTAACAGACTCCTCATGGTTTACATGCAATGCATTAATAGCAGCTCCAATTTATGGATAGATAAATTGGGATACAAAGAAGACAAGTAACTCTTCCAAGGATTTACAGCAAGTCTTTGGCAGAGCCCTGCAACTCTTACTCAGTCCTTTGTTCAAATTGCTAAACCACACTGCCTTCTTTAGACCACAATTACTGCACAGGCCTGAATACTGTGACATATCTAAAATTATATAGCTGTACGCTTATATGAGGCTCTTTTAAAATAAAGATTGTATAACATCTTCAGAGTTCAACACAAAGCTGCTCAGTGAGCACTCTGCTGCTCAAAGACAGCCTTTTTAATCCTCTCGCATCATAAAAGAGCCAGATCTAATTCATTGTAATAAGAAATCAGAGGGAAACTTAATAGCATTTGAACATAAAACATCTGATGACAAATTCACGTTGTAGCAATGAGTCCTCCTTTTGGAGAACTGACATGAAAAAATAATCGTAGCATTTACGATTATGACAAACAACGTGTATCATCCAGCTCTGAGAATGCTGTACAGAGAAGGGCTGTACAGGATGAATTATACACCCGTGTCAAATTTCAGGCACAACTGAGTAGATTAAACTGTGAATTTTATCACGTCTCATAAATGTGCTCTCTGTTTATAAGCATGTCACCTCAAGCTGGATCTCCTCAGCTTTTTGCAGTAGGTTGTGCACCCTCTGTACCTGAAAGGCACGGCCAGACAGGGAAGATGCTGGTAGTACAAGAAATTTCAAGGTTGTGCTTAGAAACACTGAGAAGTTAAACATCCCAAGTTCTTGACGAGATTTAAGAGACAGCATGGACTTGCTGTGATTGCCAGGGCACCACTGTGAAAAGTGATTCCAAATTTTCATCTAAATATTGTGCGCACAAGCGTCTCCATCTGCCTGTACAGAGAATACATCTGTGCCGAAGCCAGATCCGCAGATTCCTTATCTTTGGATTGTAAGCATGCAAATGCAGGACTTTTGTGCACACACCTGCATGTGCAGACCTAGAGGCTGAGCAGAAGCCGATGAAGAGATCTTAAGCAGAGCAACTGCACTGTGTTTATAAAGACAGGATGGGATGGAAATTACGAAGTCACCCCAACTGATACAAGCATGTACAGATGTTATTCAGCTTCTTGATCCAAACTAGGATCTGGAGCAAACCAAGGGTTACAAAAAGAAACCCCGGAGTGCTTCCCTCCTCAGAGTGACCTCAGTGCTGCAACCTGGAAATGCAGACTGGCAGCGGGCAGCTCTGCAGTCCAAGGACACCCCATTTCCAGTAATGCCTCGCACAGGAGAGATCCATCCTGTGCCAACCCTGAGGATTGAAGCATGAATCCCAGACGGGAGGCCCACCTTCACCTGCAGGGAGCAATCAGACAGAAAAGCAAAGCCGTGAGCCCCTGGGTGCTGCCCCAGAGAGAGCAGCCCCTGGCCACGGGCTGCCTTACCTCCTGAGGAGACCCGGCATGGCCAACCCTCTGCAGCCCACAGGCCGAGTGCTCGGGGCTCCAAGACATCCCGACGGCCTTCCCCAGTCCCAGCTGCATGTGCCAGGCTCGAGCTGGGCCTCTGCTCCTCCAGGGAACGTGGCAAGCTGGCAGCACCTTGGGGGATCGGCTCCGTCCCCAGCCACCACCTGAAGAGCCGGGCTCGGCAAGATCCCATCGTGCTGTTTCGCTAAGATGGAAGGGAACTAATCTCAGTGCTGGCCGAATGCCAGCTTGGGGTAATTACATTCTTCTGACAAATTTTTCTTGGCAGTTTCAATGGAATATAATTAGTAAATGTAAATAGATGTAAATAGTGCTGTAAATTACACTTTGCGTGATTGTCAGGAGCAGAGGGGGCTCGCAGGGGCGAAGGGGCAGGAGGAGCGGAGTAGCGCTCCCCAGCAGGGCACTGCCGGGACACGCTGCTGAGGGTTACAGGAGCAGCAGATGTCCCGATGCAGGTTCATCGTGTGCTTCATCACACAGATCATCCGCTTCACCTCAAGTACCGCTCCGACCCGGCGGTGTTTGGTCATGTCCCACAGCTGTGCCTGCACGCAGCTGCCACGCTCCACCTCAGCTGTGCTCGTGCTCCGGCAGCAAGCCGCTGGGTGCCCAGTGTTACTGATTTCCATGACATGCTTATCAAATTTGTGAATGGTTTGTAAAACCTGCTGCTACCAACTGAAGAAGAAGCGTCATATAAGTGGAATTACATAATGCTCTTTCACGGCTATTTTAATGCAGCTTCATGTACCTAATTTCACATAAAGTAGAAATAGCTTCTACCAAAAATACATGCGTATTTTTAACTTCATGTAGTCAAGTAGATTTTAGAGCAACTATATAAAGTAATGAAAATAGATTCTAATGTATGCTTTCGGTTTCTTATATTATCTATATATTATTACATGTTATGTGTCAAGTCTCTTACGTATTTAATCTGTTTCAAATACAAATTGATATTGCTAATGGGCTTAATCAAGTATTTCTTTCATACAGAAAATTTGAGGATAATTTTTCAATAATTCACTTATTTTAATTTTTCTTCAAAATTTGCAAATATAAATAGCTAGCAGAAGCCAGTAAAATGAAGGGAAAGTTTATTTTCCTAACAAAAGCTTGTTGCACTATTGAGCTATAACAGGAGAAACAGATGTTTCAGCTTTACAATACCATGTCTTGCAAAACTTCCTTCTAAACGACTATTCGTGCTCTACATGTTTTGGACTGTGCATGGAGAGCTCTGCTAACAGTCCTGGGAAGCATTGCATACATTAGTAAAGCCCACATTAAGATAATTAGTGCTAAAAAAAATCAACAAGACCTTTTTTTTTTTTTCTTTTATAGTATTGATTTAGTGTGGGTGAGAAATGCCAGATTTTCGATCTCGAAGATTCATGTTCCACCACAGAGCAGGAGATGGAGCCAGCTTTTCCCAGTGTTCTGCCAATAAACTCTTGGATTAACCATCTCACAGGCTAGAAGAAATATTCGAGCTCTATGGTCTATTGATGCTTAGTCTCTTTGACAAACCTATGAACATAGAAATAGGAGGCACACTACCTGCATCAAGAAACCCAAATTCTTTATCTTTGGGGCTGTACCTACCTAAATATTCTCTCACAAAAGAAAAAAAAATCAAAATTTCTATTGACAAAATGATCAGGACTGAAAATAAGCTGAAAAGACGACTCTGCCAGTGGCAATATCTATGGGAAACTTTCTACAGTAGAATAGGCCTTTGTGGTTCATTTTGTATCTCATATATATATATATCCTCTAAATTGCAAACTCCACTTTAATGCATACTGTTCTCCTAAGGGCTCTGTAACCTTTTGCAAATCCTATGATGGGTTTTGTACATCATTTAACTCCTTGTCTGACAGTAACTTTACCTTCTGTAGATCCAAGCAATGACAATATGGATACGGACATATAATCAGATGTGATTCGATTATGGCTGCTTAAAAAATTACTGCCCGATCCCTCAAGATGCTGAAGGCAGGGCTGTTTAAGGTAGCAAATTTTGTTTTGGGCTAAATGGTAGGCTAAGATCATGTGCATGACCAGCTGACTACTCTTTAGATGGGTATTTACTTGCTACCTTACAGCTCGAGCTTATTCCCCTGGGAAAGGATCCACTGCAGACATGCATATGAGAAGAGCAATGTGTCCTACTCAAACGTTTAGTATTTATTTTGGTTATAGAGCTATCCAGGTTAGTGGAGGATGACATTATTTTGTTTGGTATTCAGAAGGGCTGCTTTAAAAGCACTTGCTTTCAGGCGAAGTGATAATCAGTCTAAGCAGTGTAAGACTTTTATAATGGAAGGCCAACACATCTTTTTTCATTCAGTCTGCAAGAGTAAACTGAGCACAGCTGTTTTACTGAAAACAACCCACTGGTATTTAAGTAGATTAGCAAAATTAACTGTGAAAATCTTCTGCTATATGAAAGCCAATAACCTGTTGGCCACAAGGAGGCAGGGCAAGGATTCAGTAAACTCAAAGAAATTGCTTTTACTTTAAAAAAAAGAGACAGAGAGAGAGAAAAAAAAAAAAAAAAAAAAAAAAAAAGAGGAGCATTAAATTAGTTCAGTCATGAAACTCTGAACTGCTAGGCAAGATAAAAAGCACTTTTCAGCCACAGTGTGTGGTTTCAGTATTGCTGTTTTAATCCAACAGCAGCAAATATCTTAAGATATCAAACAATAGTTGATCTGGCAGTAATTTTCTGCTTCTTTTGAAGAATCAGATCACACATGCTTTTTCTTCATCACTTCTGTGTGATGTACACTAAAAAGGGAGACTCATACACTGTGCTCTGACAGGGTGGATTTACCAACTCTGAGCAAGAAGCCATACGGCCAAGTTTGCAAGGTGTTGCTCCCAAGCCAATAAATCCTAAAGCCTTTCACTCTCTTGGCACGTCTATTTCTGGGCCAAAAGCAGACAGAGGCGGGTAGCTGTTTGTAGTCCCCTACAAAGTAAATGCCTTATGCGCCGTACAGTACGGTGATGCCTCCCTTAACCAGAGCTTTAGTTCATTCCAAAATCAGCACTAACTTCTAAAAGACGAAGGGGCAAAGGAGAAGAGTAAAGCCACAGTATGCCTGTTGCAGAGTTAATTTGAAAAGGATTAAATAAATTTAACAGTGAAACAAAGCCTTCCAGAGTATCAACACATCACAGTCCAGATCTATCAGTGACTTCCTGTTTGAGAAGAGACTTTACTCCTAGCTCTGCCACTGCGCCACCAAGATAGGTGATTTCAGTCCCCTGTACCTCTTGCCTCTGTTTCCTCATCTTTTAAGCTGTTGCTTTCCTCCTTTGCAAAGCAGTATGAGGTCCATGGATAAAAAAACATGCTACAAGAACTAGTTATTATTAATGCAATTCAGATATGGAATGCACCAGATGGTAAAATCTCCAGGATTTTAATGAACTATTGTAACAGAACATATGTAATATGACGTTATTGTAACAGGCATTTAAATGTATAGTTAGTACATACAACGTGACCTGCTCTGCTCTCAGTAACTCCACTGGAATTATTTTGGATTTATGTCAGATAATACTAGGAACACAAAATAGCCCCATATGTGCAATGTGGTAAGGTTTTCAGAGCAATACAATCTTAACTATTGCCTGTCCTGTTCTTCCTTTTTGCTGGGGATACCCTAATGGCAAAAATAAAATGTCTCTGAGCAAGTATTCCTCACCTACCACCATAAAACAGTTAAGTCGTGAAGCAGCAAGAACTGTTTGGTTTTATACTATATTCTGTAAAAATCATGTCTTTGAAGCACCTTATGCTAGATTGGTAAGTAATTCATGCTTGTGTCAGAAGAGCCAAACATTCGGTTTCAGGCTGCGAGGGCAGGAATATCTCCTTTCTCCCACAGCACTGGAGTTCTGGACATCATGAATTATATGACTGGGTAAAGGTGAAAAAACAGGACTGCAGTTCAAGCCACTGGCATCACACATTACAGTCAGAGACAGGTACTGACTTCAGTAAAGAGGAACATGGAGATAATATCAGTATGTATAATAATTCTAGCACATCTACAATACAGACTATAAAATTCAAGTGAACTGACATTTAATATATGAGAGGCTGGAAGCAAGATATCAATTTCACATCATAAATTAGCCTTTGTACTAGTGCCCAAAGATTTGGCTGATTACTCATTGCTTTCCCTTAGTGCTTAAGCAGTCTTTTCCAAAGCAAGACAGTTAAACCACAAAAACGTACCGTAGTGTCCACAGCTCTGACCTTCCCAGCAGGAACGTGCTTTGGAATGGGTTCTTCTACTGATATCATCACGCAGCCTTCTGCTCCAAGAGTAACAACTACAAGCTTACACCCTCTTTCTAACAGCATGCGTCCCACCTTTCCAGCATCTTCAAGGTTGCCAACTGGGATGCCCGTTAAAATTTCTGCCTGGAAAATAACCCACGCAAACGAAAATCATAATGTGACAGCATTCATTTTTGGACAACAGTTGCATCTGAAAACAGCATTTAATATCATTTAAAAAATGTGTATTATGGGATGATCATGAAACTACTTCCTACGCTGATATTCAGCTATGTCATGCTCCTGGTTTGAAATCAGCGTGTACTTCAGGCACAGCAGAATAACAGAGAGCAGCCTAGGCTGAGACACAGGAGGCATGGGTTCTGTTCCAGCTTCTTCAACTTGCTTGGCATGCTACCTTGAATAAATCACATTTCTCCCACGTGCCTCAGTTTCTTCATCTGTGAAATGGACACCATGACATAGCCTTAGCAAAAGCATTTTGCTGTCTAATGCGAAAAATGCTACATGGCAACTCAGTCACTATTCTTGGGGGATATTTGTCACTAAATAAGAAACCTTTTTTTTAAATTCTCAGGGCTCAGCTAGTGAGAAATCACTAGGGAAAGTCTCTTTAAGGAAAAAACCAAAATTGCTCAACTTTGACCACTGTGTTTACTTTAATATGTATTTTTAGATAAGAATACCTAAAAGTTATCTGAAGTTCTCTTTTGGCAAATGCCCATTCCAAGATTATTATATATTTGTGTTATGGACATGTCTATAGGCCTCTGTCAGGGCTGAGACTCTTTTGTGTTGGCTCTGTACAAACACAGATAAACTCTTTGTCTAACAGATGGTGACCTTAAGTCAACTTCTCCCAGTTGGCTCTTAAAATCAATCTCTTCTAGTTCCACCCAACTAAGAGCAAAATTTCCCAAAAATTTGCAGTGAAGTCTCCAGAATAAAACATCCTTTTCTTCACCTCGTACATTTTCTCGATGGCATCCCATTTTCCAATGTCATGCACTACTTCTTTTGGCAGAGGGTGAAGGGAGGAGGACAAGGATGGAACAGGAAGAAAGGAAGAAAAAATACAGCGAGTTTTATCTGAAACAGCCTAGCACGCAGTACTCCTCCTGCCTACTAGAGTATGCCTTCAATTTTAAGTAAACTGGCACATTATATATTGCTGTCTTTCCTAAATCTTATCCTGCTTGCTTGAGAAGAGGAAAGTCCTACTTTATCTTGCACTACAAGGCTGCTGGTTCCTGAGAAAGGGAGTCTGAAGTGTTTTCAGATAATCGCCTATTAACTGGGCAAAACTTCCACAGTCTTGGGCCTTATTTTCAGCGAACAACTTTGGAAACTTTTCACCAGCTCCATGTCCTGACCTTGCTGCGTGGACAGCTCAGCTTCCCGGGAAACAGCTGCTGGCATATTTCAAACCACCTTGCTCTGCGTTGCAGAAGCTTGAAATTGGTGCACGTATTTCTTGCCCAAACGGACTTGAAACCGTGGAGGTTGAACAACTGCCCCCTGATGTACGGGGCCATGCCTGTCATGTAAGGAGAGGCTGGGCAGACAGCTGGGGACAGGAACTACTACAGCCATCCCAAGCAAGCCGCCCCCAGTTGTGAGTCAGAGGCCTCACAGCTTGCCACTGTCATTTCCTGTGTTTCAGCCTGACCCAGAACAGAGAAGCCACCCTTAGGCTCTGAAGGGCCAGCGTATGCCAGTACGCGGCTTAGGCTTTATATTATCATGAACAGAGTGCTTACTGGTTTTAATTTTCAAACGTACAGGATCGAGGCCCGCAGTCCCTACTGAGACAAGCACACAGGCCTTTTCGGGAGCTGTCAGTCTGATAGCTCCGAGGCAGAACGCGCTGTGGCGGGACTTGGTGGGTAAACTCATGCTGCAGGGTCAAGGTGTGGTAACACGTAGGCACGATCTAAAACTACTTCTTTTAAACCACACTGAGCCCAGGCAAGAATACAGTAAGCTTTAGATTATGAGTAGGGAACTAAATGTACCCCATTTTCTCCTTGGCATGTCACCACACTGCTCAAATTCTCTTGCAGTAGGAACTGTTTTGGCAAACTAAATCTATTTCAGTTTTTAAAAGGGTATAAAAGTATTTTCACATAAGAGAATTTGTTTCAAAAAACATCTCACCCAACTTTTTAAATAAATCTTCCTGCAAGGTTTGCAAAGAAACAGTACACTAATAGTGGCTTTGGAAGGACTAGATAATAAATAGTATTAATATACGTATACTCTATTCTAATACCTAAGTGTCTAAAACATCTGTGTCTTTTTTTGAATTTTAAGATCTCTGAAGCAAGAACTGTGTGTTCCTGTATTCATAACACCTAGCACAAGAATAAAAAGGCATTAACAAAGTGCACACACAAATCCTTGAATGAAAATGGCCAAATGAATTTCTAACGTACTTCACGATGGGCAGTACTTCCAAACTTTCTACACAGGTTGCAAAGTCTTCAGGAAAAAAAAAGTGAATTTGGTCATGGAAAAGAAATAGTCAATCTCATTTGGGTTTACTTAGCTGGTATTTACACTTCTCTACGCTCGTGAGCAAGATAAATGAAGTACTTGAATATAATATTCTCCCTAATGAAACACACATTCTGTCTGCTTAGTAGCAATGTTGTACCCTCTTTGTGACAGCAGTATCCCAAGCCAACAGGATTTTTTGGCTGTGTAGTGAAAGGGTTGTTTTGGGGCTGACACGTGAAAGGTTTTGCAGAAATCTTTCTGTCTTTATCCTGTTTATACCAATAAACAAATTTATTTTGAACCAGACAGAGTCTGTATAAAAGTAGATCGTCAACTGCTTGAAACCATTATCATCTAACTCATCTACGGCAGGATGGTAAAACTCAAAAACACTGGAACAAGCTGGAAGAACCATAAAAGCAGCAGAAGCCAGACAGATTCTGTGCCAATAATTAGAGATTGCGGTAAATGTCAACTGATGTTAAATACTGTGGTGAGCTTTTAAGTTCCTCCCTTCAGTAGAATCTTATTTAAAAAACAAACAAACTGTGGTACAATTGAAGGAAATAACTAATAGTTATGTAAAGAAAAAATTAAATAACAATACTAAAAGCTCAGTGTGGACATTTGCCATAGTACTGTACAAAAGAACAGCAAATTAAGAAATTTATTTTTTCTGTAGCTAGTCTCACAAAACTCCTCAGTTAAATGGCCCTAAAAGCAAGAGGACATTCCACAAACCTGCTGTCAGAAAAAAAAACTTTGACAGTTATTACATAGTTAATCTACAGAGAGTTTTCTTAATTTTGTTTACACAAGTAGAAGAAAAATTTAACCGAAGCCTTTACATTTAACTGTTACAAAGGTTCTTGGCCATGCTCCTCATTATTCTTCGTTAACTCTCCTTGTCTCTTCGGGCTGTGGAGTCTAGTCACAGTAAGCTGACACAAACCAGCCCTGCTACGGAAAAAAATGGTGCTGCTTTCCTTTCCACTCCTGTCCACACGGCTCATTCTCTTCTGCCAGCACAGCTATTTGTGTGGCCAGGAAATAAAGTGGATTGCAAGGCAGGACTGTGTTAAAATTAACCCCGAAGTAAAATAAGATAAAATAAAACAATCGACTCCTTTCAACGGCAGCACTAGTTTACACTGGTTAAAAGTGATAATGAAACTATGATATGAACCTCTGCCAAGTGTTCCTAACAGTGGTGCATTGGGGGCCACCTGTGGCTTACGCAGCCGCTTTCAGGGAGAAGTGCTGGATCTTCCACTTGGCATTCGTGAGACCAAATCTTTAGCACAGCCTAGTTTTGGGACCCCTGGCAGAAGTAAGATACTGACATACTACAGCAAATCCAGTGGGAGGCCAGCAAGCCAGTCGGGGGCCAGCACACAGGACATACGAGAAGAGGCTGGGAGACGTGGGTCTGTTCAGCCTCAAGAACCTCCAGCGAAGGGGAGGGCTAATTGCTGGCTACAACTACTTAATGGGTGGATAGAGAGAAGAGGAAGCCACCCTTCTTGAAGCTGCAAAGGGATAAGACTGCACACAAGTGGCACAAGTGGGAAATTCCAATATTAGGAAAAACTTCCTCACCAGCAGGGTGATGCAGTACTAGAGCAGGTGCCCAGAATGGGTCATAGGTTCCCCATCCTTGGTGATTCAAAACTTGACTGGACAAAGCTCTGCTTCACCAGCGTGCTGGACTAGAGATCTCCAGATGTCTGTTCTGACCTCCTGTGATCCTCAACACATATAAAGCGTTGAGATGGCAAGAAATGTTAATCCTCTGGGGTGCAATCCATCTTTTTCTTTAGTGTCCACATGGCACCTAGCACAATACAACTTTGCAAACATTGCCAGGTACTACTGCAACAGAAACAATAAATAAGAATAGGGAAACCGCCACTTTTTAAAGCTTACTCGTCTAAAACTACATACAACAATTTAAAATATTTTTAATTTTTAGTATTTAAACACAGTAAGCCAGTTGGCTTCAAGCTTGGCTTGTACCTTAAGAGATTTCTTTGAGAATGCCAGAACAAGAACTTGATCTCATTTATTCTAACACATGAAGAGTCCCAACTAAGTAGTGAGACAGATTTGGTGTGTAAGCAAGATCAGGCCACAAGCCAAGCTAATTCCAGTTGTTTCAAATTATAATTTTTTTACATACATGCCAGAAAACTTATGCTAGAATAATTAAAAACTGATTGAAATGAATTGGCTTGAAGCTATTCCCTCCCCTCCCAAAAGTAACATCTTTCATTTTACACTAAATATGGGAGATTTCATAGTTTCCAGAAACTGATAAAATAGGGTTTAGAACAAAGTTGGAATTCAAATTAAAATATACTGTGAATTACTAGCAACTTCTGTGTAATGAAGAAATAATAGCTTTCCTTTACTTAAAACAGAAAAGGCAAACACATGAAATGTTCTGGAATAGTTTAATTTTAAAGGACCTATTCTTGTTTTGACTAGTAGAGGTATCAATGATTATTTTCTTAATAAATACTGTCCCTATTATTAACCTCTCTATATTAGTTAGTAGTATTTTAAATGTCCTAAGCTGATACATTTTTATAAGCTTGATATTATCTGGCCCTTGTAGAAGTCAGTGCTGCCTACTGATTTTGGATATACTAACAAGAATTCCCATTATTAGTATTTCTTCCAGAAATTATTTAACCTCAACTAATAGACAATAGCACTTAAAAAGAAACAATAGGATCCTATTATTCTTTTGTATTATTTTTACGTATCTTGCAGCTTCATTTAACAAAATTTGCAATGAATTTATATTTAGATGTACTGCTTTCTACCATCAAAACACCGAAGTATTCTGTTAGCATTTAATTAAATCTTTGCTAGGGCTTTCTTATTTAGATCAGAAGTCAGATACCCATTTTACATTAGGAAGAAAACAGTTCCCAGTGTTGCATTCAAAATAGCTCGGCACACTAAATCATTTGCTGCAACCATTTAGGAGTTTTCCTTCTCCTGAAGGGCTCTTTCGTATTCTTTGAACGGAGAAGCAGCTGTTCTTCAAAACATTTAGGACCAAATTCAAATTGCTGACATGCAATATATTTTGGTTCCTAACCTGCAGGGCTATGTAATTGCACGCACACACTAAAAAAGAAAAACAACACATGAACTGTATTGACATTGTGGTTGTGCCTAGAGCCATACTACAGCAAGGAAGCACACAAATACATGGGAAAAAAAATGGTAAGTACTCTGAAGAGCTCGTCTTGTGCAGGGTTGTCTCTTTTTCAACATTTATAGATGACTGAGAAGAACAACCATTGGTTTTCACTTAGATGACATTGGATACATTTATTTTTCATTAGAAGAATTAAGGGAATGGAGAACTAGCACATTCCTGCACAAACCTCAGGGATTAGGCTGTGCTGCATCTGGGAATTAACAAACTAGTCTCAACAAGCTTGATCTTTCTGGGAAAAGATAAAACTGAACTACAGGCTAAGCAAAGAAAGAACTGATAACCTTGCAAGATTTGTTCTGAGTTTTTGTGTTCATGAACCACATAAAAAGAAAGCAGTGTCAGACATAAAAAAAAATATTATTGCAACAAGCAAGAGTGAAAAGAACAGCTTGTGAAGAGCCTCCTAGACAAACTAATGGTAGATAATTCACTGATAGTATAATTTTGTTTGCTTCTCTCTAGCACATAAATCCATAAGAACAAGCTGTGCTGTTATACCAGATACTGCATGGGATTTCATTAAATCCTAAAGCATTTAATGAAGAACAAAGTGTGATGCATTTGATACTTACATGTTTAGGACCTGAAATCCCATGATTGTCTGAAAGTATAGCTGGCATTTTTAAACTTTTATTCTGTGACAAAAGAATCGCAAATTAAAGCTGCTGACCTATGTGGAAGTAGACAACAGAAATTTCTGACTCAGTAATAATTCAGCTAATCACAAGGACTATCCCCTTTTACTCATCTTCAGCAACACAAACACTCCACACAGTCTATGAAATGTCTGAAGCTGAATGGCTAGCTTTCTGTTCTGCAGCTAACATAATCTTCTGTTACAAACATATCATTCACATGATATCCACAAAGTACAGGGCTTAATCATTTAAAGGTATTTCTTGATGAACAAGAAAGATAGGGGCATTTAGATAAAAATATGTGATAAATACCTGTAAATTTAAGCGCATAAGAAAGCCATACCAAGCAACAATAAGAATCTGTGTAAATTTAATCTTCTCTTAGCACGTATGTCTGTGTTATAAAGTAATGTTTTAAAAACAGCTGACCGGAATAGCTCTAAAGAATTCATCTTTAAACCTGAGAAAATTAAGAGCTATTTATAGGGCTTACTAAAGATGAAGTAGAAATAAGCTATTTGTTTTCTGATAGTACCTAAAAATACCAAATTAAAAAAGGGCATCCAAAAGGGGTAAGGCTCAAACATAACTAGGGCTTTGGCTAGAAGGAAGTTACTTGAGACTTAGAGAGGGACAATGGAACTGGAACCAATGATTGCAGGAGAGCAGCTGTAAGCAGTATATTTGATAAATTTGGCCACAGAGAATTGAAACCAAACCAAACCAAAAACAAATGCCAAATCTACAAAATAAGAAGGGCCACAGTAGGTCAGAGCAAAGGTCTATCTTATCCAGTTCCTCTTTTCTGACTGTGACTGCTACCAGATACTGAAGGAAAGAAGAAAAGAAAGGTATAACGATCTTTTCCCAGTACATGTTCTGGACCATTAAACTATTAGTTACTTCTTGATTTAAGAAGATGAAGGAAATGCAGATGTAATTGGCTGAATGGATAAAATGAATGTATTTTGAAAGAAAAATCAACATTTTTTTAAGATTTGTGGGATTAACTTATTGCTTTTAAATGCCATGTAGAGATGTGACTAGTAACCTTTATTTGGGTATGTAAACATTTATCTCTATATAAAACTTCTCAAGTGCATACATTACAGTGATTTGAAATTAAAGAAAGTCATGAAAGAAAACAGAAAACAGATGGCACATGAATATATAACAATTACTAAAAGAAAAAAATCAATCTTGTGACATAAGAAAAACAAATGCTTCATTTTTCCTCTTTTCTCAGCAAAAAGAAAGGAAAAATGGCAATAGTTCATCCCTGAACATCAATTCAATAATAAATCAGACATGGAGAGGATGAAGTCAGACATAATTGATTATTAAAAGTCATGGTAATGTAATTGATTTCATTGTAAAATCTGAAAAGGTTACTGTTAAAAGTAAAGGTAAATGTGCAATTATGTGCAATTCTGTGTTCTCAGAATATGTTGTAGAAGTCCCACAGCCGGTCTGTGCTCCTGTGATATGGCTGGCAAGAATTTCCATAGGTGTACCATTTCCATAAATTCAGAAGAGATAAGCCTCCTCAACAGTAGAGAGCATATTTCTGTACCTGCCCATGCACAGAGTGATCCCAGACATCTTCAAATGGTAATTACTTTTTAAAAGAAAATAGCAGAAAAGAATGCAAACTGTACCCCCAACTCTGCAGGTGGGTACAAAGGTGGATGAGCGAGCAGGGATCTATTATAATTATACACCTGTATTTCTTGTTCTCCAAATAGAAGTAATTTTCTTTTCTCCATGTGGTGGTAATAATACACACTGGCTCCAGCAAGCTAAACTTCTCAAAGAATGTCTCTTTCAAGACTGTCCTCTAGCAATAACAAAGGGAAAACTTTAACATGTGTGTTGCAAAGAGCAATGAGAGAAAAGTCAGGAATAGACGAGTAATGAAAAACAAAGTTTTGTTTCTAACATATGGGGGTAAGTTTTCTCAGGGAAAAAAAAAAAAAGAAAAAAAAAGTAACTAGTGACATTATGAAAAAAGCAAACAACGAATGACATTTACTAAATCAGTGGGAGAGTATGGGTGTTCTCAGCCCCACATGTGTGCCATAGCACCATTTAGCCAATGCAGGGGCATAGTCCAGGCATAAATGTTTTCTGAAAGCTTGAAGAAAACACCATATGGGTGTCCTGAAAAAGAATAAATGCTTTGCCTTATCATTCTCACCATCACATATAATTGAATTCCGATGGCTGTATGCGTCTAAGCCACAACTGCTATTGCTGCCAGTTATACTGGAAACTTTGTCTTCCAGAGACCTGAGACCACAGCATCTCCCACCTTGTAGGAAAACAGCTATTCTGCTAATTCCTGAACACTCTGGGGTATGTGAAATTGGAGACACGTACTGAACTGTTCCAGAATAAAAATCAGATGTCAATTTGGGTTACTTAAGCACTTAAATGCTACAAGACTCATGAACTGAGGACTTCTGATATAGTTTGAAATGAGTTCTAATGGAAACTTCAAAAGAGGGTAACTGAGCCTTGACAGACATTGTCATCAGACAAAAAACCTACCAACCAAACAAACAAAAAAACAGAAAAAAAAACCAGAGAAAACAGGGCCACACATTTCTCTTAGCTCTGTACCCTCCTCCTCACCCACAGGTATCATGCTCATTGCAGAAATCATGTTTGCTGTAGATAACTTGAAATATGATCAGGGCATGGCTTCTATCTACTATGTTGCTTCTCACACATTCCTGTTTATATAAAGAGAGAGTGAGAGGAAGGAACACAGCATGCATAATGCTAATAAATAGGAAATTCAAACGAAGGCCTTATGAGCAGAGCTTAATTTGTCTCTTGTGACAAAAATAATTTGCTTTGGGAGAAATAACACACTTGAATTAGAGAAGAGAGGGAAAGGAAGGAAAAAAGAGAAGAGAAAACATTCAGTTGAAGGGCCAGAGAAACAGATTCTCTGCGAACAGATCTGACAGAAAGAGGCATACGAAGCTGCTATTTACCATCAAGTGCAGCATGCGTGCATCACCTCCTGGCAAGCGAGTTTCAAACTGTCAGAACACTGTGGCTAGCGCGTTCCTGCTAATCATATCAAGGGACTGCAGAACAAGGACAAGGATCTATTTTAATATTTACCACTCAGTCCTAGCGTTTTAGAAGTGTCCTTTTATGGGTTTGTTTTACTCATCTGCTTGTAAGGAAGGCCAGATACAACTTTCCCGCTGGAAATGATTAATTTAATTTTGAGTGCAATCTAAAGGAATACTCCTCTTTGCTCGCTATGTCAGGGATTAAACTTGTCACCTCTGGAAGGTCTATGGGAGAGGAGCACGGCTTAGTTTTTCTGCTCCCTATGCCTGAGAACAGAATCCCTCTGAAATTTTACTGCTTAAAACTCCTTCTTTAGTGCAACATATCATCATTACCTCAGTTTCATTGCAGCAGAAGACGTCAGAATGAGTATAGAATTGTGGATCTAGGTCAGCAAGGGCTGGAGCTGGATTAAATAAAGTCTTTACTGAAAAAAAAAAAAAACAAGAAAAGAAAAAGGTCTAAATTTCTAGTATTTTAGATTCATTAGCCATCACCTGGAACATCAATGTGGCTAGTATCTTCCAAGAATGCATTTGCAGCCCCCAGAGTTTAGTATTAAACACAAATGTCTCTCATTTTCTGTCTTCCCTTTATAGACTGCTAAAAGTTTTGTTTATTATATTAAAATTCCTATCTAATTAATGTGCAATCACCTGACACGATGTGAACATGACAGAAGAATAACAGGAAAAATAAGCAAGACATTATTAATTAAAAAAGTACCAAGGAAAACAAAAATCTTAAGTATATACAATTTGTTTAACTAATGATACTTCTTGCAAGATTTTTATAAGTATTACAGGAATGGATTTAGTTCTAGAACTGTTTCTGTGTTGTTATCTGCATTCTGTACATGAAGAAACAGGGGTATAGAGTAATGAAGGACATGTCCAGACAAGGATTTAAACACGCTTTTTAATGTGTTACCTAACTTGTTCAAACTGCCACACTGTAAAACTCTAGTGTAGACACGGTGCTGTATATTTTTAATGTTACCTGGCAGAGCTAAACCTTAACTTAAGACTTAGTAGTAGAATAAGTTAGTTAACTAACTTGAAACTGTAGCCTAAGGCCCTGTGCAACAGGAGGAAAGGTTTGTCATGAGGACAGAGTATAAGTGACTTACTCACTGTTCACACAGGAAGTCTGCAGATTTGGTTTCTCATTTTGCCAATTGTATGATTAATATTTCTGTGTCTTAACCACAAGCCCATCGTTTTCATATAAAGCATACTCTCTTACTTTAGAAATACTCCTTTATAGTAAGTGATCAAATCTTCCAATTTGGATTCCTAAATTTTCAGCCCTAAATGCCTCTTTAGAACTAAGTTACAGCACCAAGTAGTAGTTATAGTTTCAGACACCCTGAATACTTCCCAATCCCACTTAACTCCCTAAAGAGAAAGATGTTAAGAGGCTTCTGACAGCTCTGTACCAAGAAGTTTAGAGGATAACCTTTTTGATTAACACTCTGAAAGTTTTAGCCTGTGACTGTACAACTATATCATGCCTCTCTACCTGTCTTGTTAAAAAGAGTCTTATTAAAGCAACAAATGCATTTATTCAGAAGTCAGAAAATGCCAGAATTAGGATTTCCAGTAAAATCTTAATTTGGCTCCCTTATATTATTACAATACAGTATGTATTATAATAAACTCTTTAATTATATGATCACATACCACTGAAAAACAGCATGTGATCACATAATTAAAGACTGCAACATAATACATATGCAGAAAGGAGACACATTAAGGTTTCACAGGCAACCTTAACTCTTACATTTCCTATTTTCTGAATTGCAACCCTAATAAAGTTTGTTGTTTTTTTTTTTTTGGAACATAAATATTTAAGGTATACTTTCATGGGTAAACAAACAAATGAAAGAACCAGCACACGCTGAAAAACAAAATCAGTTCTCTGGCATCATACTGACATATACGTGGGTCATGAACAGCACTGGCAATGCTCCAGCTTGGGCTTTAAGTAATGCAGACTCATCATGAACAGGGTGAAATACGTTGCTATTATTTCACTCCCGTATTTAATATCTGCTGAGCAGGAGGGAGATGGAGGAACCCCAAGATTGTCCTTCAATCTGTGAAGAAGAGTAGGGCTTGTGAACAGGGTAATCTGCTTGGTCCCACTTAGGAACACCAAATTATTTTCTGCCCAATTTCTTTTTTGTCATTTGCCAGGATCCATTCTCCTCACCTATTTTCCATTCTTTATGTACCCTTGCATAAGCACTATGCAATAGTAACCTTTTTCACTCAATCTTCATCATCCTGTCTCAATCTCCATATTCCTGTCTCTATTCAGCGAATCCTATTCATTGATCTGTGGTTCCCCTTTCAGTTTCTCTTGTTTCTTCCCCTGCCATCCCAAAACATCAAGCAAATTCCTCTTGTGCTTCCCTTGTCTGAAATTTACTCTTCCTCCACACCATTCCAGCCCAGTTTTGTCTCTTCTGCATTCAAACCAAGCAAGCTTCTGCTCTGCATGTCCTTGGCCTACAAGCAATATGTACGAGTATAAAATAAGTCAGTTGCTTGAAACCAGAGTCAGGAACTACACTGAAAGTCATGCTATCCAAGTGGGCAACTCCCTGTGTGGACAGACTCTCAGGGGAAGCTAGCTGGGAAGCTCTAAATATTTTCTCAAATCTTTGTTACGTGAAAAGTAGCATATAACCCAGGTAGCACATGACCCAGGCAGATTTCCATACTGTTGTGGAGGCTTATCTTTAAAAGAAATCTCCCTTGGTATCAAGTCTCAAGTAAGTTTTAAAGTAGCCAGTATACACATTTTAAAAGTGTGTAGAGTGGGAGGCATTTTTCCATGGCCTGGTTTCTGCAACCACTATGCTTTGGCAGAAATTTTACAAATAATTTAACCACAGAAAAACAGCTGGTATGAAAAACTGCAACCCAACATTAAAAAGTTGAAGCACATGAAAAATAGATCCTTTACTTGCAAGTGACATGCAGCCTTACTAGCTGAGGCTGCTTCCAGCCCTGGTTATGATACATTTCCATTTTTCCCTTCAATATTAACAGGCTGGAGTTATTAGGCATCTTTTCTAGAGTCTGGCTTTACAGAAACTGAAAACTGCTTTGCAGACTTTGATATACAGTAACATTTTGCCCATCTATGAAATGTCCCTCCTCCTGGAAGCAACCACAGCTTCACAGCATGCAGCCCTTTTTTTAAAAAAAAGAATTTTCCAGTCAGATTTCCACTACAGTTTATACCCACTTAATATAATTCACAACCCTTTCTTCCTTCTTTGCTTTTCTTCCCCTCAGGACTGTCACAAGATCTTTAATAATAATCAGTGCCACAATAAGAGGATGTCAGGAGACGAGATGTCTCCATCTCTAGCTTACAGACCCAGGTGATGTTCACTGAATAGAAGCAAAGGGGTTTTGCTTGTGCATCCACATTCTTTCTCCATCTTCTTGTTTATTTCTTTCAGTAAGGATGAAGAAAAACAAGCAAAAAAAAAACTTGAAACAGTGGTTTGAGGCATCTGGGTATGCATCTGTTGAACAAAAATAGTCTAGTGCACATCCTAACATCCAGTACTGCATTATACATGAGCGGATTGCGGGCTAAAAGAAGGGAAATTGCACTAACAATTTACAGTTGGCTAAGGATAGATCTTTACAGTGCTACAAACTCAGCTGTTTACTTCAATCTGACTGCACATGACATGTGAACATGTGTAGCCTGTTGCTTTAAAGCAGAAGCAACTAAAACTCTTCTGACATGAGCTGCACAATGATAGCAGGCTGACAGCACAGAACTATAGCTGGCCCATACTTACTACAAAGTCTCCTCAATATGCTGTGCTCTCTGCAGCTGCTAAATGCTTGCATGCCTCTTCTGTGTATCAGGTTTGGATTTCTTGTCACAGGCTGGCATTTTGCCGTAAGAGGATGACAAAAAAGTGAAGCAACTGTACCAAAACTATGCACGGAGTTAGAAGTAGACAAAGTAAGTCATGGGTATTGACTCATGACTCAACTATATTCCATTAGTCACTAGATAAAGAATGCTTTTATCCCTTTTCATAAAAATGTAATGAAAAAAACATAACGAGCTTCATTTCCCCCTCCATATACATATTTTAAGCATCTCAGGTGCTAGCTACTCAGTTAACTGAAGTTTTTAATTTTTATTTAGATTTGTATGAATCCAGTTTTGACATTTCAAACAGAAGGCAAAATATTTTTCCCCATGCACACAGTTCTGTTTGTAAAGCTTAGGACTATTACCACTTACAGAGCAGCTTGCTCTCAGCCCTGCATCTAACATAACTGCTTAAATCAGCATAAACTACATGAAAACGATGCATAAAGTCCTGCTACACCTCATGTCTTCACTAGTGCATGAACACTAGTGATCACAACAGGTGCACAACAGTGGACCAGCAGAGGACAGTCAAGTCAACAAGCCCAAGGTGCTAGGATCTGCTGGAGCAAGCCTGGGCCCAGCTGCAAGGAACCAGTTAGTTCTGACCCCAGCTCCATCCCCGACCTGCTGCACAACTGACCATGCTATGAGCTGTCCCCTCCCAGTCTTATCTTCTGGATAGATGAGAACAATGTATTTTTAAACTCATACGGATGCCTCACTTGCATAATTATTTACTTAGCGTTGTTCAAATACTGTGGTAATTGTGCTCGAGTAACTGAAAGCATTACAGGCACTTAAACAAGTAAAACATCACGTCAGGAGTGAAACCCCATCCTGTTCAAGCAAAATCCAGCTTTCATCCAGACATACACTACCCTGAAGGAACAAGGGCCAACATTTAAAAGTAAGCACACTAACAATTACTGATAATTATTTCAGAGACGATGACCTTGTGTCTACTCAATGGCAGCACGCCTTGTCACACCACAAATTTTAGTTAAAGAGAAAAAGCTTTCTTTTTTTTTTTTTTTTAACTTTAAGGATGTTAAGTTCTGCTTAAGGATGTTAACTTCTACACAGAAAAACACAGTCATAACTACTGCTAAACTACAAGAACAAGGGTGTAAGTCTGTTTTTGAGGTCATTTCATTACTTTATTGTATATGCAACTTAACTGACTTGCATTCATTACGCTTGTTCTGTAATAAGACCAATCAGGCCCATAGTTCCTGACCTAATGACATCACGGTGTCTTTAGTCACAGCATGAAAAGAAGAGAAAAGGCAGTACCAGACATCTACAGGGAGATTATAAGGGTAGGGGTTAATTTGCCATTTAAGGTAAACATAGAAGAATTTTAAAACTGAATTCAGTTTTCATTAGCATAGCATGAATTTATTGGTTATTGTTTCATTTCTAAATACAACTAGTATGACAGAAACCAGAACAGGCCATGGGATTTTAATTTAGTAAGCATGATAAAGAATATTTTTCATGTAACACAAATGAAGGACACTGAATAGCTTATGTTAAATTACCTCCACTGGCACGTGCCATTTTCAGTGCTTCAAGAGAAACAGCAGGGGATATTTCTAGCTGGCAGACAACCACTTTGGCTTTACAGATGACATCGGAAGCTCTCTTCAGGTCTTCAGAATTTAAAAGCAGATTGGCTCCTGGGACTATGACAATAACATTCTGCCCTAAAACAAAATAAAAAATTGTGTTTTTACATTAAGTTTTTGCGATATATTATGAAAAACAATTCATCGCTTTTCTACAATATGTTGAGATGATGATTTCCATTTGCTTTCTACAGAAATAAAAAATAAAAATCAATACTTCTGGCATTTTCAAATATCCAATGATTTAAGAAGATAATAAAAAAGATCCACGGATTAACAATCGCAACACTACACAACAAAAGCAGTATATATATTTCTTCAGGAAAAGTCATGTATGGACTTTTCCCTACTCTTAGTTTGAACCCATGAACCCTATGAAAGCACTACGCTAGTCACAGTAGAGATACGGGACACACACTAAGGCTGATAATTTGTATTTTCCAAAAATTTTAGCTTCCCTTCAGCTGGAAACAAAGAATATTTTCACATGAAAATTATGCATGTCCTTAAATTTCAGAGGGGAAAGGCTTGCTTAATTTACCTGCAACACTCCCAGTTAGGGCCCCTAACCATAACCAAACCAAACCAAACCAAACCAAAAACAGGAAAGAAAGAAAGAAAGAAACAAACAAACAAAAAACCAAAAACTAGAAAGCTAAAGCTAATGACTATGAGTAAAGAAAACTTTACCAGAAGTGATAAAAAAGGTTGGTGACAGACTTGTCTGAACTCAAAACTGGACAGCTGAACATTGTGAGCAAAGCTGTATGTGGCCAAGCGTGGCAGTATCTCAAAGCACTTCTAAGATCCTGTACAGCCTCGGAGTTTGCTTTACAGTTAGGTGAGGAGGTTCATTTACGTAGGTTCCAAATAGGTTTTTTGTTTTTCTTCAGACATGCAAGTTGTCTTCTTTTATTGCAGTTTCTTTGTTTCTTTTTTTAATCTCTGTTACAACACCTAGAGACCTTCAGGCATGGGTGCCTTCAAATTAAAATTTATTATTAATCACTCAGGTATTAAATTCAATAAGTCAGTTGTTCCTTGATTTACAGGCTCAGCCCGCCCCCGCTGAAGATTCCTTTAAGGACTGCCAATCATTAAAGGCTACCAATTCTGTAATGAACTGAATTACTCTGTAAATAAATATTTATGTTTTTAAATACATTATTTTTCTTGAATAGGACTTCAAAGTCCTTTGAATACGAAATGTGCAAAGCTCGTCTCCCTAAAAGTGTTCTGAAAAGAAAGCAGGACAATGGAAAGAATAATATAATGATCTCAGAGGGAGGGGCCCGAGCTTTCCAAAGCAATTCTGCTGTCAATGGTTTGGTACAGAACAGCTGCATTCGAAAAGCAAAACCTCAGCATTTAAAGCCAACGCCCTGCTTTTCAACAGACAATGATGGGCATCTTGAATTAAAAAAAAAAAAAAAAAAAAAAAAAGAAAAAAAAAATCTTCTGCAACAAGTAAATGCTATCAAAGATATCTGAATCCTGCTGGGGAAACGTTCAAAGGCAAATTGCACCTATTTTGCCAAGAATATATGCTGAAAGCTTCTAGGGTACAGCAGTACAAACAGTAAAACACAGGAAACCAGTGGAACAAAAATATATTTAATTTCTGCCTGGACTCTGTGCTACCTAGAATCTCAGACTTTATCTACATGTCTCTCTGCATTATCTTGCTGAACTATTTAGCTGTACTGACATGTATATTATTATTAGACTTTAGAGCTAATGGCCTCGGGCGATAAGGAAGGCTGTTTGCTTAAACCTATATGTGCAAATTCAAGGTAGTCCATGCTGCTCTGGATCACAGTCAGGAGCTTTTCTTTGTAACAACAAAAGGTCAGAGACTTACAGTCTGCTTCCAAGCACACCCTACCTGCCAGAGAAGTGCCGTACCTACTGTGGTGTAACAGCCCGGACTGGCTCAACTCAAGCTGTAGGGAAAAAGCCTCGTTCTGTTCTTAGCTCAATGCACCACGCTGGCTGCGAATGGCAACAGTCCCCAGAAATTTAGACGAGCGCGCACGAAAGCAGAATCTGGACCCATGCGCTAGCGACTCAACCCAGGAGCCTGTATCAGCAGCACCCATTTTGTCGAAAGCAATTATTTCTTGCCAGGGAAATCAGATGGGAAATCAGCACCAGGGACAACAGAGTTAAAGACAGATGGCAAAGAGGGGAGGGATTCATCTTGTCCAACATTAACTAATTTCTGAAGATTTCCAAAAAATTCTACATTCCAGAAAATTCCAAGAAAGCTAATTTCTAAGGAGTAGAGTTTTCTGGCTGCCTTCAACAAGATGGAAGGACGAGTATTTTCATAGGTATCTTAGATATCTGTTTGAGGAGGACACAAACTGTTGTCTGGAAACACCTGTGTGTGTCTCTGTTAACTGTAGACGAAGGCTTCAGCCATACACCTAACTCTGAAGTGAGGTAGATGTTGCCCACACTGAAAATGAGGAAAATATATTCACTGTGTTACGTACGGGTAATTCTAAAATACCTTGACTTAGACTAAATGTTTTGATGGGAGCATCTATAGAATTGCAAGTTTTGCAGATGTCAGCTAAAATATTAAGGGCCACGTTCACAGCTGCTGTAAGACAGAATAGCTACAAAAAGCCGATAAACTTATGCAAGCTTACACCAGATGGGGATTGGGTCCAACCAATGCTTTCAACAGCATGAATGCTGTCTATGTAAATACCATTCTCGGCTGGGCTTCTAAACCTGCTGCTGTCACTTCTTAGAGGGATGGATAACTCAAGCTACATTTTTCTTACAAGGATCATTTTACATATGCCACCAGATGAGAACTGGCAGTGGTAAAATCAAAAGCAAACCAGTAAACCCCACAGTGCGATAATCCTCACTTTATTTTTCAAAGCAGGATGAAGAGCCTGTAAGCCACCAGTAGTGCTTAGAGTTCACCATAGTCTCAAACAATACGAGTACAACAATAGCTATAGAGCTTCTGCATAATAATTCATAGGGGAAAAAAAAAGATGATATTGGTGACCAGAAAAGAATGCTACAAGGAAACCATTTGCTGCCAAATCACACAGTTCATGAATACGAGGGCAAGTTTTGGGTGTGTCATAGTACAATAATTTCTATGCAATTACTTGGTAGATGCATTGAATAGTCTTGTACACAACGCATTCATGTTCGTGATGAATGCCCACACATAGAAATTCTATAAAAATTCAGGTGATATTTCTTCATAACCTTGAAGGTTCAAAACAAAGATCACCTCTTTGGAAAGTGTAATTCAATCAAGCTGGAATATATATTCTAAGTTTGCCGTGTTTATTTAGCCTTATCTAAACACATATTTTGAATGTTTTTATACTACTAGTGCTTTGGTATTGAAAGTACACTTACAGAAAAATGCCTATTTACTGTTCATGAATGATTAATAACTTTATCGTCAAGTCAGCATAATGCCTATCTCAAGTACGGGTTATCTCGCAGTGTTCTGTGTAGGTGAGCTTTAGTTCTAACTTGCAGCAATCAAGAGCACTTTAATCATGACCTGCCAATCTCTGTTGTCCCTCCGCTGAATTTTTGCAATGAATATGCAAGTTGTCAGACTGGTTCAAACTACTGGCCCAGTCAGGCCAGCTTAATGGCACCGTCAGCAGTCAGTACCAGATATGGACAAAGCTGCAATAAACTTTAGAGGGAATTATGTTTAAAAAAATATCCATAAAGAGGTTTTGTTCCTCTCCGTGTGTGTACACAGAAGCACAATGCACATCATCATTTTATAGAGATCTAACCATACTGTAACACCAGTAGCAGAAGGTGTGGTAAGTGGCCGAGGCAGTGGAAAGAAGGCAGGCTGAAAGAGGAAGCCCAAGCTGGGGTTCAAAGTGGTATACCAGGTTCCAGAAAAGAAATTCTGCACAAATTTTTGAGACCTGTCCAGGCGGAACCTTTGCAGCATCTCTGGGTTGCACGTTTACCAGCACAGCACTGTGGACTTGTTAACTATCTCCCCACCATTCTGCACTAACGCAGGGATTTGACGTGTTTTTTTTTTTTTTTTTTTTTTTTACTGAAACTACACTTTGTCTCAGAATATCATGCAATTTTGAGAATATCAAACGCACCTGATAATTTCAATTTTTTATTACTTTGCCAATTAAAATAATAGTAGAGTTACACCTGTGTAATTCAGTAACCAGTAAAACTCTTCCCAGAAATTCAGCAGCAGTGCCAGCTAGACAGCCACAGATAATAAAAGGGGAACTTCAGAGCCTCTTCTGACTTTGCTTTCCATAGCTTTCTTGTCCTCTGCCTTCCCTCATTCATCACAGTATGCTCCTTCTACTTGAGGATCCTCTGCCTGTGATATTACTGAGTTGACCGGAGCTGGTATTTTTCCCAAGTATCAGCAAGATGAAGTGCAGGTTAGGTGCATGAAAACAGAGCAATTAAAACTTCACAATGTAAAGAGATACCAATTTTATTTGTTGTTATTTGTGCCTCATTATCTTAACACAAACCAACACGCACACACCCCTTTCAAATGCTTCTCTTTTAGGTATAATTTGAACTAGCAGAAACTGCTTTACACCAGTATCTGCACTGAATGCTGTGGTGTTTCAGCTATGCCAGCACAACTACTGTGGTAAAACATGCATGTGTGGACAAGCCCTTTGAAAAGTGCTGTAAAACCTGTTTAGGTCAAATCAGCCAGGTTTCTACAAGAAAAAAAAAAAAAAAAAAGGTGTCTCTTGCAACAGCAAAGCACATAAGTACTGCTATTTTATTACAATTTAGTCAATTCAGGCGCCAGATGGTTTTAGATAGAAGTAACAACCAGAACCATTACCAATTCTGTGCATCTGTTTGCTTTACAGCATAGTTCTGACCAGGTTTGCTCTTCTACTAGATTTTAAATTAAATCTGAGGCCAGTGGTAACTTAATTTAGGATTTTTTCAGTTTCTGAAAGAAACAGACTGCACGACATTATGCATTATTTTGTTCACTATGTGAATCACAGGACTATCGGAGGCCACTCACGCTGACACTAACAGGTAAGGTTAACCTAATGGTACCGAAAATTCAGTTTCCCTTTCCTAATGGTTACAAAGGTTTTATATCAACCCGATGGTTTTGTTCCTTATCCTTCAGAAATGCATTTTAACAGGTCATCCTCTGCTTGTTCAGATTTGAACCACGGTTACCTTATTTGGCCATGCATATGAATTAGGAAGTAATAAGACTGTTTCTTATTCAACTATTCTGGACAGCAAATCTAGTGCCAAACATGTCTACATATACATGTACAAAGCAGTGAGGCCTGGCAACGTGTTCTCCTGGATTCTCACTGTCTTTCCCATTTATGATGGTCACAGTAGTAACCATATGCAGCACAAGAAAGAACATCTTAAGAGCTGGTATGGTAATTTACCTGCTGACCCAAAGGAAGAGAAGGCAGGTATCAAGTTTATTTGGTGTATTACAGCTACTTTATTTTTGAAGTGAAGCTGTCATGCATTTGATTAATCTAATTTAGAGAAAATTAAACTCACATCTCCAACTAATTTGCTTAATTTTCCTGAATGTTCCTGTGTAGACTTGCTTTTAGTCACAGTTCCTTCCCAGGTTTGCTCCTGGAGTGAACAATCATGTTTCCTTTCCCATCTTGAGCTGTAGCCCAATGTACCATCAACTTACATAGGAATTTGTGAAATTGATGTGTCAGCTAAGTTGCGGTAACTATTCAAATGAAGGTTGTTAGCTGCACCAAAAGCGAACTAATTCAATCACACTTCATCTGTTATGTATGCATAAACATTATTGTTCCTAAGCACTAAAATTTTGATCTGGACACAAGTGCTTCTTCTAAGAGCTTGCTTGAAGAAAAGATAAACAGAAAGTTTTCAGAAGATAATTTAGCTATCTTGAAGATGAACATGAAACAAACTAACTCTTGTTTTCTTCTTACCCTGCAACATAGGAGTAAAGGCACAGGCTATGGAAAAATAACACAGAAAAAAACCAAATATGCCATCTCATCGTGTATTCATCATTGCAGATGCAACCCAGGATCAAGTACTGTTGTAATATTACATAAACAATGTAAATATTTCTACTTAGACTAAGGACAATTACATTTCCTGATTCAAGGCGTAATGACTCACGCAGGAGGAAAACCCATTCCTCACAGTAAAAGTGCAAAGTAAGTTGTGGTGGAAAAGGAGGGCTTTAACCTTCTGATATGCTGTGGGCTGGCTAGTGTGAAACTGGATAGATCAGCTGGCTGGCTGAATCCTGGCTGTTACATTGCTAGCCTAGGGGTCTGATTCTGCTGCCTTTAGGCATCTCAGTCTACAAAGTTGCCTGCAATAAAACCAAATGCAACAAAATACGAATAAGATCATGAAAAAGACAAAAGATGTAGAAAAATATTTCTATAGTTAACAGTGACGTGGGAAAGGTTGTTGTTGTTTTGTTGTTTTTATGGCTGTAGAGGCAAAACCAAGTAGACAATTCAGAGTAGAAATAATGTACCTTCGCTGTTGACAATTATTGAAGCAGTTCCAGTAGCAGCTTCTGTAGTCTGACCTACAAATGCTTAGAAAGGGAAAAGTTAGAGCATGCATTAGTTCAATACATTACTTTCAACCAATAGCATGTGATTCAATTTAATTGAATTAAATCTGAAATGAACCCATAACCTCCAGCAATTTAAAAATGCTAATTACTCTTTCATGTGCAACAATGCCAGAGAAGCTAACAACAACAAAAAGTGTTAATTTACACCCACAAAACAGAAATGCGAGTCCAACATTCTTTAATTTGGCTACATCTCTGCTTTAGAGAAAGCATGTTATTTATACAGCTTTCTCAGGCACTCTCTACTCCTACATGGAAGTATTTCTTTTATCCAATAAAACAATAGAGTCAAGGCTGGAGAAACCTAAAATATTAACATAACACAGCATTTAATTCTCTGGAGATTTGCATTTCAGGAGAAGTATTAACATGTATCATGAAGGCAGTGGTGAGGCTATATGTTTCCTCGTGGGATTATTATTCAGACAACTAGAAGTGAGGCTGGCAGCACTGTCTATTTTAAAGATTGTTCAATATTTACTAGTATAAGAACCTGTTTTCAGCTGTCAGATAATTTGTCGAATATTAACCAGTGATCCAAAGCTTTCTACAACAGTGGGTTTATTCAGATATAAAGCAGTAAAAAACTGTCAGAAAAGTTCAGTTTTCTTCTCCCAAGTACTGTATCTGAGAAAAAAAACTACTATTTTATTTGAGGTGAATACTAGTGACCTTTTGTTTAGAGCATTTTAGAGTGTGGACTTGAGGCTGGGCAAGGGTTGGCTTCTTTCTCAAGATATGCTCTTCATGGAGTATTTAAAAAACAGTTCAAATTCGAACAAGGATTAAAAGAAAACAACATCATGCTTATGCAGATTTACTCAAGTATTGCAGTTACTTGCCCTGAAGGTTCCCTTCTCTAGCTCAGAGTTACAAGGATCAGAGCAGAACTTTCCTTGCAATTATAGCTTCTTTTCACTGTGACCTAGGTTTGCACACTGGAATTGAAAGCAGAGAATTTGTGTCTTCTGTGCTGTCAATGCTCTTCATGCAGCAAATATGCAGCGTGAGCAGTAAGCTACCCAATTCAAATGTAGGGGAGGAGCTAGAGTTGGAGAGGGAGGGAGTAACATCAGGAAAGGTCTAAACGGTCTGTGTAGCACTGGTGGTAGCTGATAGGTTGTGCAGACAGGAAGACTGGGAAAGGGGACAGTTATGGAACAGACTGGGATTGGAAAGAAAAGGGATCAGGTGGTATGTTAAGAAACAGAAGAGCAACATAAATGAAGAAGCCATACAACAAGGATCCAGGACATGAAGTGGACAAAAGCGGCACTATGGCAAGGATTTTCAGCCAGTACCCAGTATCCTGATGGAAAATAACAGGGAGAGGTTAGACAAGGATTAAACGGGGATGAAAAGCCAGGGACAGACATATGACAGTCCTATGTGAAAATGTCTGTGTGCCCTGAATCACCCTTGCCTCCAGATCTTGGAATGCAAGCTGAGACCCCAGACCAGCCTCACCAGCAGAACATCCTTTCATCCTCCAGGGCTGTTCACCAATGGAGATGCCGATCTAACAATTCTGAGATATTTCTAACTCAACCAGCAGAAGTCTTTACTTCAGACCAACCCTTCAGTTGGTCTATGTAGGTATGAATGAAGTACAATACAAGACATTTCTGAAGATTTTTCCTTCACTTCCCTTTTTCTGCCACAAAGACTATTTACAAATTTAGGTTAAGATTGCAAGATCAATCATTTAAACCAGGAAATATGAGATTTAAGGTTGGCTGTGGAATATACATTTTCATTAAGTGCTATGCATCATAATAAATTTACTTACATGATCAAAGACTTTATTCACGAGGTAGGCCCGTTTTAGAGAGATTTAGAGCAGACACTAACAGACACTAACAGTTTTATGGTATCCTTGCCTGGTTGCTTGTCTAAGTTGGAAGACAGGTAATGAATAAACCTCTCTATATATTTGTGAAATATTTAGATGCTATACTGACAAGCATAATAAAAAGCCCACAAAATACTAGTGATTCTCTCTTTAGAGCAGGATTTGAATAATGCAGCAAATGAAAGTTGTGGCTGCACTTAAAACAGAAAACTTGAACAGAACATTGAATTGCCACTTAGTCATTTTATCTGTCCACTCTGTCCACACTGACAGAAACAAGGGGCTTGCAGGCAAAAGATCATGTAGCTAAGCAGCACACAATAATCCATTTTCACAAGAGAAAGAATTAGGGTTACAAAGGTGCAAATATGATAGAATATTGTGAATGCTTAACTCTTCTTTTTCCTGAAAGCCTTTTAACATTGACTTTTGTGTGTATGTGTATAAACAAACATCAGCTGCATTCTGTAGGATGTTTGGACATCATTTTAAAAAACTGAGCAGGGATGAAATGTATGGAGTTGACAAATGCGTTTCCACTTTACCCTTCCTCTCCCAACATGAAATAAAGGATAATCAGACTGGATTATCAGACTGGATTTTGTCAGTTTCTCACCAGGCATTATCATCATCAGTGCCAACCTAAACACTCACATAACAGCAAGTTATCTTCAAGTGACTTGCACTGATGTAATCATCTGAGATTTAGAGGTAATAACATTAGATGTTACTTTTAGTGGTACAGCAATCTTTAGAAGTCCCCGCATTCTAACCCATATTCATTCATTCCTCCCATTTATGTCAAAACAATTATTTGTAGTTTTGATTTTGACTACAGACACATCCAATAAAGCAATAAAATAAGAAATCCTCCACTAACAATGTTTAAAGCTTAGAAATAATTCAAAAGGCTTATTTAAAGTAAAATTTTACCTGTAGAAACACCATTCTTCTTCAAATTTTCAACGTAATCATTGCCAAAGGAATCATTTCCAACCTATACAAAAGATAAACGGACAGGTTTTATCTACAGAAAAGTGAGATCGTCTTTAGGCAGCAGAATGCGGTAATGCAATTTGAATACAACACTTTCTATTTTGCAGCACTTTGCTTTATTTTTTGGAACACAGTTCTGCAGATCTCCCCACCTCTGTTACGCACTGCCTCCACCCATATCCCTATATTCAAGTTTCATTCGCATGCAACCACTATGTTCCCTTGAAACTGAAGCTTTCTGGGGACTGTAAAATCTGGAAGTATGCGGAATCTTGTACTCCTGGGCCACTAGTCAATTTTAAACTGAAAGGAACCTAAGTGTTCCTCTTAACTGCAGTTCATGTTTTGAATTTTCTACCTCAAAGTTTTCTTGGTGGAAAAACATCAGTGGCTGTGCTCTAGAAAGTGACTATAAACACAGCATTGCTGATTTCTATAATTTCTCAGTACTAAATGTACTGTTTATGAATTCAACATGTTTTTGTTTGTTTTATCCAGCGACACCAGACCCAGTTGAGTTACAGAGTCAAGTTATGCTCTATTGTTTTTCTAACAGCAAGTTAAAAAGCTTGTAATTTCAGTTCCACTAATCCTCTTAGCTGAACAGAATTCTGCTTGCTGTTTATTCAGGGTAATAAACATTTGGGTTTGTTTCATTACACAAGCTGAAAAAAGAAGGTGAGGTATATGGAGAGAAAAAATAAAAAAAGGTCTAACTTACTTAACACTAAAATAGCATTTAGTATATAAAGCCAACACAGTTTTTAGTTCACCAGCCTTAGCCTATGTCTTCAGCATTCACAGTTTGTGCTCCCTCTTCCAAGAGCAAGTTGTCCATCTGATCAGTATCAACGACTGACCAATGCTATAGGAAGCATATTTGCAAGAGAAAAAAAGTCATCTTTCAGATAAGAAGCCAGATCAAGATCCTGGTCATGGTCTAGACAGCAAAGGAATTGCATGATAAATAATGACCTGTCTTCTCATAAAACAACACTAATAGCTAACGTTGTATTTGAGTTGCTAGGAAGTACAAAGCAGCTGCCTCTAAAGCCTGCTTAGAAATCTGTCTGTTTATGAGTTCAGTCTTATGGAAAGCTCTGAGAAGACCTGAGTACTAGCTAGTGACCACACAAATCAAACCCTACAAAATTCCACAAACCCTACAAAATTGTAAAACAGGAAGTGTCACAGATAGATGATCTTTCCCCCCCCCACTTACTCTATTGCATATCCATGTTTTGAAACATATTTCCATTTCCTACAACCTCTATATGGGATTTTTATAAAGCATTATTAGGGATATTCCCGGTCTTTTACCAAAGGAGGACAGCAATGTAGGTTAAAACAGTCTATCCAGATGGAACATTCCTCTAATAAATGGAGGGGGAAAAAAACAACATAAACATTTTCTTTGGTCACTGTGCTATTCATTGTTTGCATATTAGAATATGTCTGTATTTCTGACTACTCCCAGTTTGCCAGACAGGGCGGGTTGTCAGAAGCTGCATCTTCGGACTGCTTTTGTCTGGCTGACTGCAGCCATCTGCAATTTAAACCTGAATTGTGCTCACCTTTGCAGCCTGACAGATGTGCTGTTGGAATGCGTTCCACCTGATGGTATCATCTTCTCCCTCCCTATCTGCTACCAAGCTTCTGCACCAAAGCTCAGGATTTGCTCAGTTATTTCAGAAATGAAGTATTTCGTAACTGTTTCCCAGAAGCTCAACTGAAAAGTGCTTCCTTCAGCTCTGGGTCCTATATAATTGACAGACAGACACCCCTTATTGTTCAGCTGTTGTAACAACTGAGAACAGCCACGGCACTTTTGCTCACAGCAAGGGATCTCAGTGCTGGAGGAAGGCCCTTGGAGGGGTCTCCAGGGAGGCCCTTTTCCTCTGGAAACTTTTCTCCATGTTAGCTCATCAGCACCCGACCCAGTTAATCCTAGTGCCTTTGAAGGGTTTATCTTTCCATTCAGGCTTTACGCTCAAGGAAGGCAGAGTATTGGGCATCAGACTCATTTTAGATTAAAGGCATATTTACTGACCATGCCAAATTACTTAACACTGTTTTAAATATTTTCTGCTTTTGCTCAGACCCTCCTAGATGGACTATTGGATGAACAGAAAACTAAACGTCTTAGTCTGCTGACCACAGAACATTACACGTGCTGAAGTAGCATTTCTTTTTTCTTGATTTCTTAGCAGTTTGTATAAGCATGAGGGTCACATGGTTTGCACATTAGAAAAGTCGAATTACATCAATATTTTTCAACCTGGCGTTTCCTTGCTTACCATCATGTTTTCCATATGCAGTTAGGAAAGCTGACTGGTATGGTAACAGCTAAAATTCTAGCAGCTTAAGAGAATCAAACTCATCTGCACCTGAAAATTAATTACAACAAAAACATGTACCTCTTAACAATTTTTTCATCTATTCTATATACATGTTTTCTGAGAGTTTACTCTTTCTCTTGTTTTGAGAATTAAACAGGTACTAAACACAAAAGGAAGACTAATACAAAAGGAAAAATCAATTGGAGATAGCCATTACACTCTGGGCTGTGTCTTAGATACGTCTAAGTTCTTACAATTAAGTGAGGTTTCGGGTTTACAGCACTTTGTCTTAAATTTGGCTTACAGATCATCTAAAGACAGGAGGAGACAACACAGCATCATAGTCCAGCACTTCCTATTTCTGAGTAGGAATCAAATGCAGCCAGGGATTAACTAGAATTTAGTATTTATCAGGCTGGCAATACCAATGTCCAGTGAGAATCATCCCAAATTGTTTGTCAGAAGAAAAATGGGACATTTTTCAGTACGTGCAATGTCAACCTTCTTCCACGCTCTTTATCTACGATACTTAGCAGATTTTTTGGTAATTGCCACTACAATGGGGAGTTTGGACCCCCCTCAAAACCTATGTGCGTTTTTCAGCACTGCAATAGGGTTCTTGTCTGAACACGAATGACCCACTTGTTCTCTTAGATCCTTTAGTTTCCTGACTGCAACCTTGCACACTTCTCAGAACCACTGTCTTTCTTGTCTTTTGAAGTGGCATCTATTCCACCAATATGGTGTTTTACTGTACCAAGCAAACTGAGTGAGGGAGTTTAAGACCGATACTGTGATAGATATTGATAACCCAGAGTAACAGCAGTCACTTCCATTGGCTTCCAGGCAGGAAATCGAATAGCGTTTGCATTTCCACTAGCCAAACCCAGTATTTGGATTTTAAATTAAAATCTACAGCATTCTGTGGCATCTCTGGTTATACCTACAAGTCATCCTAAAACTCCCTTTCTCAAACCATCAACAGATAGTCACTGTCTCCCTTTTATGCTTTAAAGCTCTCAGGTATGAGAACGTCTTTTCACTTGACCTGAGATGCTTATGTCTCCTCTTGTTGATTAGATCCTCTGTCTAAATTACAGCCCTTGTAGGAGGATGCCACACTCCAGTGGAATGTCCCTCTGGTACTGATACTGATTCCATTCCCACAACTTTAGACTGCAGAAGCAATTGCTTCGTGTTGGGAATTATGACCAAAACATAAACATGTACTGAAAACAGAGTACATGTGAAAGGCAACCTGGCTTTAAGAACCACCACATACTTAAGATGACTTCTTAAAGTAAAAGTTGAATTGTAACGTCACATTATTACCTGACTCTTCTCAGTTATATTCAGCAAATGACTTTATATGGTGTCCTATTGAGCTGTGCAGATAAAAGACTGTACCGCTCTGAGATGAGGCTGTTTTGCCAGGCTATTAACCGCATTTTTAATTTAAAAAGTAAATATTAACTTCTAAATAAAAAATAAAAAAGGCTAAAGTTTATATGAGAAATCTGTCCTTCTCTACTAAGTCTTTTCTCCCATAAATGCACAATGGAAAGAAAAAGAAAGAAAGAAAGAAAGAAAGAAAGAAAGAAAGAAAGAAAGAAAGAAAGAAAGAAAGAAAGAAAGGAAGAAGAAGAAGGAAAGAAAGAAAGGAAGAAGAAGAAGAAAGAAAAGGAGACAACTATGTTTTTCTGAAATAGCATAAATATGATTTTGGAAAGTAACTGGAAATTATACTAACTGCTAAATTTTATTAGGAATGCAAATGGTTCCAGAAACATGTATTCACTGAGATAGCTTAGACCATTAAAAAATAAAACAAAATTCACACTTTCAGTAGAAAAAAAAACCTTTAACATTTATCAGGAAATGTTAGCAGAGAATTCATTGCCAATTCATCTTGTATTTGAATCTGATCATTTTTGAATGCAAAGATGATCAAATTTATATTCAGTATTACAGAAGCATAAACATCCCCAGTATACATTTTTTAAAAAGAAAAAACAAAACAAACAAACAAAAAAAACAACACTGTAGAACAGCAACTAGTGATAATGACCCACAGAAATGCCTGAAGTTATAATTTAGATTGATAGGTACCTTTCTTTAGCCTAAATATTGGAATGGAAACCAGTAAGAAAGGCTTCCTTGATGTCTCCAGTACTCCTCAAAAAAATCCCTGGCAGACAATGATCCAACAAATTTAGCATCTTTCCCCAGCTATAGCAATAACAAAGTGTGTCCAGTCGATCTAAATTTTCATCTGGTTAGTACTGGATAGACAATAACGCTACAGAGAGAGAAAATTTGGTATTAACCTTAGTGATGATCACTCAAAACTTTTAGTGGCAAAAATCAAAGAAAAGCCCTGTAAATATATAGCATCTGTCAGGCTGGATCAGCCTGATGGTCTGTAAGCCAGTCTTGAGAACCATTGTACATCAAAAGTTTCAGAGGAGTGAGCAAAAAATTCCCATAGCATGCAAAGGTGGTAGCTTGTATATCAATACCCCATCCTAATCGCAAGTAATTAGACAATGATTTAATTCTTGAAGCACGATATTTTATATTTCTTCCTGAATTTGTTACTAGCTCATCAATATTCGATTTTCATAATCAGCTACAAAGTAAACTGCTGGTTGACTACAGTGCCTAGCACCCGAACGTCATCACTGAAGCCCTGATAGTTGTAATGCTGGGGAGCATAAAGAGGAGGGGCTAGCACTCAATTTTTGAATATCTCAAATTCTCCCCAACTCTCTTTTCCATGGTGTATCTATCAATCTCAGTTTTGCAGTCTTTCTTTCTGTGCAATTTCTGCCAGATCTCTAGCCAACTACTCTTTGGTTCTGGCAGCGCTTTCAGAACAGCCTCCTGGTCACATTTCATGCTGAAATTTACAGCTGAAATAAGGAGAAGAAAGGGGAATTAGAGCAGTATTAAAAAGAAAAGAAAAGAAAAGAAAACAAAAAAAGTAACAAACCAAAACACCATTTCTGTAAGATACCTAAAGGTTGACTGGAGTTTGCACGAACATTTAGTTCAGCTGTAACCCAAGAGCAAGCCAGTGCTTACCTTGCAGATCAGCGAGGTCTTGGCCCCGAGTCGAGCAGACTGGACGCATTGATTGGCTCCTTTCCCACCAAAACCAATGAAAAACTTCTGTCCGAGGACAGTTTCTCCAGCTTTTGGCAATCGCGTGGTAAGGCTGTTCCAATTTAAAGCAATATTTACATGCGTTAACGACCGAAAATAGCAAGCATCTTCAAAGTAAGAGTTACATTCTTAAAATCCTAAAGGCTCTGACAGGCCGTCAATAAAAATTAAAAAAGACTAGAAAAAAGACTAGAAAGACCCTTCAGGGTCTCTGTTCCACAAACCACCAGTTTAAGTTTATCCCTTGCATGCCACCCCGTCAAGCTTCTCGTTTATTACTCAGGAGAGGGATTGCATTTCTGTTGTCTGTGTTTCATGTTTCTACAGGAAAAGAAGCTCTTGAGCCCTGCCTGGGATTCCCCAGCGCTAACACAATACAGATAAATAATAAATCTATAGGTCTCGCTGTTCACATTGTTTTTCTGTAACATTCAGCGCAACTTTACATATTGTTCATTTAATTTCATTACAGCTAATTATACCTTCTTGAACCACCCGAAGTAATTTTTCACTTTGTTGGTGTTTACAGCCCTGAAAATCGTAGATCATTATCAAAACCTTCCTCCCCTCTGCTGCCACTCAGGCCACTGTACATATTCAACATTTCTTGTTTTTAGATCAAACTTTGCAACTTCTTACCATTTTGGTGGTTTTTGAACTCGCTCCAATTGCATTTACATTTTTCCGGGGACGGGTGCCCCGAACCAGATGCACTAATACAAGTGGAGACCCACCAGGGGTGTATTCAAGCCAGTCTGGTTTCATTCCCGTTTTGGAAAACAAAACAAAACAAAACAAAACAGAACTGTAATTTTGTTAACGCTACCAGATGTTTTGCTATCTCCAGCAGAAGCTGAAAGAAAGACAAGACACCACCAACCTACGGGGAAGAAGTTCTCTGAATGCAAAAGGCAAGCTTACTTTTGCCACTTCTATTAAAAATACGTAACTCAAAGCTGTGTTTGCAACACATGGATTCCCCAAGTTTCTGCCTCTTCAAGCCATACGCTCCAGGGACAAGGTCTAAAACCAGAATTCTTTCTACCTCTTAAGCTACAAATAAATAAGTTCATGGCACATGGAGAGAACTGAACCCATTTGGTGCAATGATGGGGAGCCCAGCAGGGCTCCCAAGTACAGCTAGTGGCACTCATTTCATTTCCAGAGATGCAGAGCCAGGTAACACTCTGCTAGTAAATATTAAAGCCTTTTTAAATGAAAATGTAACAGCCTTTTAAAAGTAGACGTGTAAGTGCCTTGTATAGGTGGAAAGGGCTGCTAAGTTAAAACATTTTGCCCACAGCAGCATCTGGCAGCTTGTTTACAACAGTCAGCAACTAAGGTGTCAGGGAAGGAGGTGTAATGAGGGCAGCTAAGTAATGTTTACTAATAGCACCATCTATAATTTAGCGCTGTTTTCATCAGCTCGTGTGCCATTGGAAGCCAAAATAGCGGTGGTTGGGGACCAGAGAAGGAAGGAGGGCCACAAAACTCGGAGGGGGAAGCTCCCGTGCAGTCAGTGCCAGGCCATCGCGTGTGTGCTTCCAGAATCGTGTGCCAGTCAGCCAAGGAGAGGTGTTTCCCTCAGCCTTGGTAAGAAACAGTAAGAGCAGCTCTTGTATAATTCGTTTTATCCACAGATCTTGCTACACTTTAAAAAGCAGAACATTGTTATTCCTGTTTTGTGGGTGTGAAATTTAGGCAAGTCATTTTGCCTTTTTTTTCGCCTCAGGTCAGCCAAGAAGCCAGTGGCAAACCCAAAAATAGAGATCAGCTCAATCCACGAGCACACGCTGTCTTCTCATTTAAATTCTACAGTAAGTCGAATGGTATCAAGTCTCAATTCATCTTCCTTCCTTAGGGTGTTTTAGGAGATTACAGCTTATTCTAAATAGAATTTGTTTCCACAAAAAGCCAATATATTTTTAGACGAAGATTAACAATTGTGACATCCCAGCAGGCATCTCTTAATAGTGCTGCTCTGAGTTCATATGCATTTTCCAGAAGCATGTTCAGCCATACATATTCTTGTTTTAACAGTGGCTAGACCACGACTTGATTCTTCTCTCAGTTATGTTGGCATCGACACACGCAACTCCAACGAAGGCAACGTAATTACACTGGTGAAAAAACAGGCTTGGTGAGATGAGGATCCGGGCCTCGGTGTTTCAAGTAGGACAGCAAAACAACTGCCTGTGGGAATCCAACAGCTTGCCGAAGACAGGAAGGTCACCTTTTTATTGTTTTGATGAAAAGGTACAAGGCAAAGGGCAAAGGATCAAGTTGGAACAGCGATTTGTAATTAGCCCGTTTTAAAAATAGGCTAACAGACTAGGCACGAACAGGCAGCAAGCTCCTGTAGCTCCCTGTAAACAGAAAACCCCACCTCACTGCATTTCTGGCGTGATCGCCCATCCTTTCAGAGCAATTCTCCTCTCCAGAAGCCTGTTTTGTATCTTCCATATTAAACAAATTCAAAGCCCTGATCTCTATATATAGCCTGGAGGTTTCACTTTCACTGACACAGGTATTCAAGTTTCTTTCTTCTCTCCCCCCCCACCCCCCCCCCAGTGTTGTTCTCTTGTCATTTAATTCTGCAACTGCACTAACTTTCGATTCACATCAGACAATTTTAATGAGCATTTCAGGCTTCTGTTATGAGCAGGCAATGATGAGTAATCTGTATGATTAAGGAACCCTATAAATTCTTGGCTTATTGATGGTACCACAAAGAATACTCATAATGGCCTAAAAATGATGAAACAGCTAATGTTACTCCAAAACCAGGCTAAATAAGTTAATTAGAAAAACTGTCACGCTGGTTTTCAGAATTGTTACATAAAATGTTTTGTAAAGCTATTTACAACTTCGACATAATTTGAAAACGCTGACCTGAAAAACTAAATTTAAGTTACTAGCCAACAGCCTGCTCTCAGCTCGTGTGACAAATCCTGCTCAGCTCTGAGAGGCTGAGCGGCATGAAGAATATCGATCTCCTCTCTTAGCAGTAACCAGAAAGTAAACCTGAAATCCCCTGACACTCGATGGGACATGAAATAACTGCATGATGTTTTGGAAGTTGTGCACGGTGCTACTGAATCGTATTTACAGAGGAACTTTGGGCTGGAACATCCTGAAAGGCTTCGGACATTACAAATAAAGGAATATAGTCAACAACATTTCAAGAGCTTTTACAAAACAGTATCTAAATGTAGGAAGCACATGGCAACACTACCCACAGGTTTTCATGGGAAATGAAGGATCTTACATCCAGTCATGCTTCAGGGGGTTGGGGTAAATAAAAGCACCCAAGTAAGAATTCTGCCACTGCAATAACTTCAACCCTTTGTCCAGTGTGTGCCACGAGTGCTCTTAAAGGCTAGAGCAGGTTAGCACATGTATTTTTAGACAGATGTCCCTTAAGGAGGGCAGCACTAGAAAAAGAACAGAGCCCTTTAGTACCTTGTTGAAGCACTGAATCAGAGGTGAAAGTGCAACTCACTGAGTCATTAACGCCACTTTCCATGGTATTCTGGGTTTTCTTGAACAGTTCCCATCTATGCAGTGACTAGATTGTCATCAGAGACAGAGTCTGAGGGAAGGAGGAAGGGAAAGGGAAAGATGTACAGGAGCAGCATTTGCATAAACTAATCCTGAAATTAATCGTGGTTTGCTTCCGATTCCTGACACCTCACCGGTGTCTGTTCAGTGTTTTCAACACATGAAAGTACCACAAAGATGCATTTTTACCACCAGCCTAAGCTGCTGCAAAACCAGGCTGCTACAGTAGCATTTTCCCAATGTGTATCTTCCAGTGCCCTTTTTGCTCAGGGAGCTTACTAATGCAAAATCTGTGGTTTTGCCCCCAGGTCATTTTAATTAGGATCAGCAAACTGAATGAATCTGGTGTAGAGCAGGCAGGGTGGGCTGGGACAGAGGAGGAGGTGAGTGAGGTGCTACCTAACGAGCTAGATGCTACCTAACGAGGGTTTGTGTGACGAGTACGGTATGCTCAGCTCAGCAGGTATGTTGGAGAAGAGCAGAAAGCATCAGTGTGTTCCTGAGAAACGACGTGGTTTTGGTGTGCATGAGAACAGAAAATAAGTGAAAAAAAAAAAAAAACACTACATTGGCATTTCTCTTTAGAAAAAATAGGAAAAGGAAAACAATGCTCTCATCAGGCAATTCAGAGGGGAAGAGAATTTGTATGTCAGATGGGCTGTCACGTTATCTAAGATGATTGTCATGTGCATAGCAGCAAAAGAAAAATTCAAACTTTATTTTTCTCCTGAAGAAAGGTGAAGATAATCCAGGGTATCAAAATAGTAGCATAAATGCTGCATGTAAAAGTATCGTAATAAAACAGAACACAGTGCAGAAGGCCTAGAATTTAGCTTTGATTCTGTTCTCTTTGAATCCCTGAACAAAACTGGCTCCTTCTCCCCTCCTGGGAATTCCCTGGAATGGGGAAAATCCCTGTGAGATTAGAGTAGGTGTAACTAGCCTCTGTCTAGTACATACAATTTGCTGGGCTTTCATGATCCTCTGAGCTGACAAATACAAAGGAAAGAACAGTTCTTGCCTCTAACTAGGAATATTAGTACATCGTTGTGGTGAAAAAGCCTCTGACCTCTTTTGGATCTGGCTTAATATTTTGGTTTAGCCTTGGTCTCTTTTGTCTCGCATAATTTTTAAAGATTTGAACATGTTCTATGGGAAAGTATCCGTAACGCTGAAACAAAAAGACCACAGTTCTTTTCAAAATCTGATGGTCTTGACTTGGTCGTGCTTTTATCCCTTTTAATAATCCACTAAAACTTCTTATTAGAAGGTAGAATCTTTTCAGGATTTATGAAGAGACTACCTCAGGAACTTAGTTAACTACAGCTTGATTTAACTACGGGGCTATCAGGTTCTAGGTTCTTAGCCTCACTTCACATCTCTAATGATTGGAAAATCATTAGGAGACAATTAGAAATAATAGGAAATATTCTACGTATTCTTCCCACCATTTCCCTGAACGTGACAAGCCTTTCCTTAACAAAAGGAAAC